ACTCACCTGGTATCCTTGGAAGAAGCTGAGGATGTCTTTGACTCCGGCGTTGTACGGCAGACCCTGCATCCTGACCAGAGCGCCGGGCTGGGTCAGCACGGAGGAAGCAGCTGCAGGGTGAGGCTGGGCTGCCACCGCTGCTGCCACCGCTCCGTGTGGGGCAGCAAAGTAACTGACCGTGGAGGGGGAGACCGGAGGACTGCGGAGACAGCGTGGCACAAACGGAGGAAAATAAAACTTGAGAAACGAAACGAAACGTAGCCACAGATTTGTAAGGAGTGAAGGACTCTTCTCCAACCTGGGGTAATAGGCCGTGTAATTCATGTTCATGTTCATGTAGAGGTGGGGCTGATGGGGGTAGTAGGCCATGGTGTGAGGGCTGTGTGCCGTGGTCTGTGGGGGTCTGGGAGCAGCTAAGAGGGGAGGCTGGTAGAGGGCAGCCTCAGAGAGGATGGCTGGTGCAGTGGGGAAGGCAGCGTAGGCTGTGGGGGGAGACAGACCTGGGGGGGAGACACAGAAGACAACCATACATCAAAGTACTGCTCTGTTATATGTGTATATACACACACAGTATCACAACTAAAATCCTGTGACATCAATCGTACAGTAGCAGTAACGTCCAACAAACTTCTGTTTTTCCATTCACAGGACGACATACTTGTGTAGCAGAGACAACGTTGACGTATTTACATACAAACACCACTAGGAGTGTGTAATGTGGGCAGCTGCAGTGTCTCTCACTGTCAAAATAAGGACGAAACAGTGTCGGCAGGACAGCGAGGTGTGATGGTGTGAACATAAACAAAAAAATTCAAATCTCATCCAAGTGAGTGAACGCAGGAAAAAAAAGAAAGAAAGAATCAGGAAGTGTTTATTTACTGGAGAATCTGAGAAATGGATTTAAAAGACACGTAAAATAATGACGGACAAATGAAAAAGATCAAATTATTAGTGACTAAAAACAACACTTTTTTGTTGAAATAAAAACACTACTTGTTCCTCTGCGAACCAACAAAGATTCAGGACTGAACAGAGCTGCTAACGCCACGTTTCCAAGTGTGACCATAAATACTGACTTTTTCAAAATCCAAGTTAGAAAAACTCAGAGTTTTACTCACAGGGAAGTTTGCAGGGAGGAGGAGAAAGGCCGCTGCGATTCAGCGTTCCTCCCATGAGCACGATGCTCATCTCCTCGGTGGAGCACTGAAACACCTCCACGTACCGGTCCTTCATCGTCTTCTTGTGGCACTTCTGGGCCACCATGAAGGCTTTGTCTGACGACTTCATTTGGATAAAGGCGTCACCAGAGGGTCGACCCTGCGGCGACGACGGCCAAAAAGGCAGAATTAAAAACAGTTTGACAACAACAGTAAATCAGTCACTAAAACTGTAGTAACTGTATTAGAAACAACCATAAAACAAAAAAAAAACAACCATAAAACTACAAACTAATACAAACAAAAACCTAAATACACATTTGAAACACATACAACTGAACCAACACGACAACAGGTGTCGACAAACATCGTCCCGTCGTGTCCCTCAGTCTGACCTGCTGGTTGAGGACCATATGGACTCCGTGAGGTTTGATGTCCACCGTGTGCTCTCCCATGAACTCCAGGATGTCCTCGATGCCGGCGGTGTACGGCAGACCTCGCAGGCGGATGCAGTCACGAGTGCTGCTGGCCGTGGGAAGGAAAGGAGGGGCCAGGACCGGGACGGGCATGATGGGAGAAGAAGGCAGCGTGGAGATCAGAGGTGTGGACATGTACCTGTTCAGGACCTGAGAGACACAGGAGAAACACGTGGTGTCATTTTCTACATTTTAACAATGAAAATGATGTTCAACATGTCACACATTTACAGCCTAAAACAGGGGTCGACAACTGTTTTTATTCAGACGGTCAGAATATTTCTGGAGGCCGGACACTCAAATAAAATAAAAAAAAATAAAAAAAATCACATGTTTGTGATTAACATTTGATGTTAATTTTAGAATCCAAACACAACACACACACCCTGTATTATGCAACACGGACAGTTTTGTAAAGCTCACAGTCCTCTGATTGGCTGACCCACATCGTTACCACACTACATTTCTCACACATCCTTTATGACGACTGACATCAGCTTTATTTCAATCACTCATCAACAAATCACACATTTCCAACGAAACCTAAAAAACAACAATTATTCATTTCCATGTGTTGATTCACCGTGAGTGACTCACCTGCTGCACCTCGGCGGCCGTGCTGCGGAACAGCTCGATGTACCTCTTCCCCAGGATCTGTTTGTGCTTCTTCAGAGAATTCTGAGCGTATTCTTCACAGGAGAAAAGCACAAAGGCATCACCGGTGGGCCGTCCGTCGGGGTACTTGACGAAGAGGAGACCCTCGGCGCCATCTGTGACGGGGCTCTCGGGACCGAGGAACGCCAGCACCTCCTGTGCCGTGGCCGTGAAGGGCAGCCCTCGCATACGGATGATCACCTGGTTCTCCTTGGACAGGAACTGGGCCACCTCGTTAGAAGTACCTGGAGACGGAGGAGGGGGGCGACACTGAACACCTGAACACCTCGTTAGGGTAACTAACGAGGTGTGTGAACGACAGGTCAAAGATCTCGTTGTAGGACTAATCTTGTATCGAGAAAAGAAATCTGCCAGAATTCAGATTTACAGAATTATTTAATGACCAGAACCATGGGTAGGATGTTTCTGGAAAATGTATTTCTTCTGAATATCAGATTTATCATGCAATGCATTTGCTGCTTAATATTAATTTCATTTTACACCAATAAATAAGACTAACTTTTCACATTATAAAACTGCACCAAGTCAACAAACACAATCACACCTTATCTGTTCTCACATCTTTGACCTCGGTTCAAAAGTCAACGTTTGAGCTGAAAATCAAAATTTAACTCGACACGTCCTCAAATCAAACGTCAGCTTTAATTTCATTAGCCTCGTCTCTTTCTAGAGTCTGTTGATTGTGATAAAACATCCGGTCGTCTGCGGTCGACCGGTGCACCAGTGTCTTGTCTGTCTGGCTCTGTTTACATACAGTCCAATCTGTATTGATCTTAACTGTTGTGGGTAAAGTCCAGCGTTGGACTGGGAGCCGCAGTAAGTTATCTGCCCTGGGTGGCTGTATGTCTTTGTGCTGTCTCTGCCCTGAGCAGCACAGGCCTCAGGCCGGCCTTTGTCTCTTCACACCACCGTTGAATCAGTTCAACTGGTTCTTTCACCAGCCGCCGGCCCTCCTCTCCCTCGAGGGAAGTGGAGCCGCGGGCTGAGTGGACAGGTGAGCTGCAGTTAGCCAAGAGTGAAATTTCTGTCCAACTGGTCTCTGAGGGGTTGGGCCGGGGCATGGGGAGGTAAGGAAGGAACGGCTGGGGGCCTGGAGGTGGGGGGGTTCTCACAATGAGGCTTTCATTAGTGGGAGATAAGCTGCTGGAGTCGGTGAGAGGAGGCAGAGGTACAGGTAACAGGAGCGAGCGCCGCGGCTCCTTAATGGTCACTAAAACTGCTCTTCTACAGATGTTGACGGCTTGTGTTTATCCCTGACAAATGCCAATGCCATTAACACAGACGGAAACCAAACACTGAGAACTTCATCACATTTCAATACAAACAAGGTGGAAATATAAAGAAAAGGGAAAAAGGAAAAAAAAAAACAAAAAAAAAAAAGGAACCTGACCTCAGGCAATCTTGAGGAATTCCCCTCCGGTGGCCTTGTAGACCTGACATAGGAAGAGAACCAGAAAGACCTCAGTTTTTTTAACGAAACACAAGCCGACTTAAACTTCACGGAAAAAAAAAAAAAAGGGAAAAAGGAAAAAAAAAAACAAAAAAAAAAAAGGAATCTGACCTCCGGCAATCTTGAGGAATTCCTCTCCGGGGGGCTTGTAGACCTGACATAAGAAGAGAACCAGAAAGACCTCAGTGTTTTTAACGAAACACAAGCCGACTTAAACTTCACGGAAAAAAAAAAAAAAACAGGGATCTGACCTCCGGCAATCTTGAGGAATTCCCCTCCGGTGGCCTTGTAGACCTGACATGGGAAGAGAACCAGAAAGACCTCAGGGTTTTTAACGAAACACAAGCCGACTTCAACTTCACGGACAAAAAAAAACAAAAAAAAAAAAGAAATCTGACCTCCGGCAATCTTGAGGAATTCCTCTCCGGGGGGCTTGTAGACCTGACATAAGAAGAGAACCAGAAAGACCTCAGTGTTTTTAACGAAACACAAGCCGACTTCAACTTCACGGACAAAAAAAAAAAAAAAAAAGGAACCTGACCTCAGGCAATCTTGAGGAATTCCTCTCCGGGGGGCTTGTAGACCTGACATAGGAAGAGAACCAGAAAGACCTCAGTGTTTTTAACGAAACACAAGCCGACTTCAACTTCACGGACAAAAAAAAAAAAAAAAACAGGGATCTGACCTCCGGCAATCTTGAGGAATGCCTCTCCGGTGGCCTTGTAGACCTGACATGGGAAGAGAACCAGAAAGACCTCAGTTTTTTTAACGAAACACAAGCCGACTTCAACTTCACGGACAAAAAAAAAAAAAAAAAAAGGGAAAAAGGAAAAAAAAAAAAAAAGGAATCTGACCTCCGGCAATCTTGAGGAATTCCTCTCCGGTGGCCTTGTAGACCTGACATAGGAAGAGAACCAGAAAGACCTCAGTGTTTTTAACGAAACACAAGCCGACTTCAACTTCACGGACAAAAAAAACAAAACAAAAAAAAACGTGTCCAACATCAACAGCTTTTTAAAAAATATTTTAAATTGAATCCATCATCTCTTGGTTTGAGTTTTAAGAGTCAATCTCTAAGAACTTTCAGAATTTACTTTTCTGTTTTGACTCCAGTAAATATCAAACCTGACCTCGATGTAGCGATTGCCCATGTGGTGTTTGTGACGCTCCAGTGCCAGGTCTCTGTGTTCCACGTTGACGAAGCGAACCAGGGCTTCGCCGTTTCTCCTGCCCTGAGCGTTGAGACACAGGGCGACGCCACCTCTGGAACACAAGAGTGACGTCATCAACACCAGAGCAGAGAAAGTGGAGGTCGAGACTGACGTATGTGATATGAAAACATTTGTCAATGTTTGGATTGTTAAACTTTACCATTTCAAAATAACAAAAGAAAGAAAAGTGAAGATGTTCCCTAAATAATGAGGGCTCTTAAATCACACCCTGTTCTTGACTGGATGTATGTGAGGTTACTGTTACATCTGTGGCCATGATTGATTTGTTCACAAATGCAGGAGAGTTTAACCATGATTGACTTGTTCACAAATGCAGGAGTTTATCTGGTTCATCCAGCAGTAACATAATTAACTCAGAGAAATAAAGTTTTAAACTGAGCTGTTTGGGAAAAAAAACAACTAATTTTCAGTCAGGTTCCACAAAAAAGTGTCAGGAAAGATATATTCTTATTGTTCTGTTACATGTAGAAGTGTTAGAATATGGGAAATAGAAATTATACCAGAAACAGAAGAGAGTTGTCCTAACAAAATTTGATCAAAATTTTACAAATCTAATTCTCAAAACTTCAGAGTTTAGAACTTTTAAAAAAATAACTTAAAATAAATAAACGATATCCAAAATGTTAAAACTGTTTTAATACTAATTATCTTTGGAACAGTGTGATGGTGAAGATCGGCTCAGGCCTCAGACCAAAACATACTTGGCGATGTTGAGGCCTTTAAAGAAGCGAGCGATGTCCTGGTCCGACGACTGCCACGGGAGTCCTCGCGCTCTGATCACCGTCTCACTGTCCACCGGCTCAGTCTTACTGCTGCACAACAACAACACACATGCCGTCAAAAGACCTCTCACAAATCAACCCCCAAAAACCCACTCCGTTGGATTATCCTACAACTGTAGACAAAGAGACCACTGACTGACTGACTGACTCCCACACTCTGAACACAGAAACACAACTCCATTAAATGATTGAATGTCGGGGGTGAGGGGTGGGGTGGCGGTGTTGTCAAGGTGATGGGCTTCTGGGTGCGTCTGAGGGGAGCAGGATGCTGTGCTGTGGCCTGGATGACCAGTTAAGTATTTGATGACAAAGTTGAACAGCTTTAATGACACACTTGTAGTTTCAGATCTGGAGTCAGAGAACGGCTGCAGGGCGTACACAACACTCCCAGCAAACAGGTGTGGCCCGGCGTGTACACTGGGGGTGGGGGTGGGTGTGTGTGTCAGGCTGCCATACGTACCATGTGCCGGAATCAAACTTGTATTTCACAGTTTCAACACAGGTGAATTTGTGATCTAGAAAAATAATAAACAAACAAAAGTTATTTTAATGTGTGGTTGGAAATAACTATTTTCTACTGCTATTCTTTTATTTATATATATACATATATATAGATGAGGACACTGCATACCTAGATGTTATTACGTTTGAACATGGTTGTTAGTTTAGGGTAAACCTGATTTACGAGGCTTGGTACATACTGTACGTTGGTGTCATTTTACACCCATTAATTAATCCATCATAAAGTTTGAAATTAATTCTTCCATTTCATTTAATTCCATGCCAACACCATGACAGCAGAACTGACGTACATTTGATGACGACTTAATTCACGGTGCCGTTGAGTCCATCATTTCTCAGCTGAGTTCAGAGTTCAAATCCTAAAAATGAGACACTTTAGGTTTAGAGTCAGTAACTCACTGTAGGGCTCAGCCAGGAGGGAGAGCACCAGCTGCACCATGGTCCTCACCTCCCTCACCCCCATCAGCTGCTCTGTCACAGCAGACAGACCAACATCTGCATCAGGAGTCAGGGAGGTTCAACAGGTTGTTGTTGTTTTTTTTCATCATTCTCTTAACGACAATAAACAACAGATAAAAATGTACATGTACAGAAAAAGATACATTCTGTCATGGAGGAGATGGTGTGATTCTGCACCGGGCCAGCAGTGGGGCAGCATTTTTCAAATTCTTTTCTCAAATCCACAAATGAAAAGAAACATTCAGGAAGGACAAGATTCTGGAAAAAAGAAAAAAAAACACAAAAAAGAAATGATTCAGTTTGACAGTTCATGATGATGATGATGTGATGAAGCAGGAAGTAGGGAGGGGTGTGTGTGTGTGTGTGTTACCTTTTTGGAGGCTTCAGGGTGGATGGCCTGTCTGATGACCAGAGGACTGATGACACAGAGTGTGCAGGAGTTTCTACCCAGACACTTGACCTCTGCTGACACTGACTGTTCAAACTGTTCACCAAAAAAAACAACAAAATAAAAAAGTCTTTTGTTACGCAATTGAAAGATCAATTTTTCTCTAGTGAAAAATGAGCTGGTTTTTTGACAAAGACTTTTGTTCTGTTTTTTTTTTTGGTTTTTTTTAAAGGTCTTTCTCTAAGACTTTCATCAACAGGTAGATAAAGACTGAAGTTGTTGTGTGACATTTGACGTGTGTTTATAGACGGGGAAACTTGTCCAACACGTTTTTGTGTTTGCCAAGTGAGAAATGGAGCAGAGCACACAACACTAATTATCAGGATAGTTCACGTCTCAGCAGGACCAACAGTCCGGGAGGCGAGAAGAACAAAAACACCCCGTCTGTCTGTCTGTGGTTTTTCCTCTTCCTTCTGCCTTCAACCATTAAAGAGCAAAGACGAGGCCACTTGGACACAAGACCACCTGAAACTCACTAACTGCTGAGCGTCACGTGGCCACTGGCAGTATATGACAGTTTAGGTGAGCGTGTTTGGACAAGCTGCTCAAAAACCACAAAGGAATACAGGACCGTTTGGAAACAGAGAAAAGCTGCTGAAAAAAAAATTTAAATGACTTTTTTTTTATCTAAAATAAATGGAGAAACTGTAAAATTGAACTTTTTAACTTTTGGTTAACCTCCAAATAACTTTCCATTTTTAAACTCACAAACAGTTGTCATTGTAATGAAGCGTATTTTTCATGCAGTCGTGCAGACACCACCATCAACTGAATGGTGTTTAGTGTGTAAAGACCTCAGAGAAGGAGAAGACTAAATGTCCTTGGGCTTTTTAAAAAACAAAAACAAAACAAAACAAAACATGTACTTTCATGCAGGACAGTCCTGGACGTCCTCAACATGTCTAAGACAGTAAGAGTCTGATGAAGGTCATGTCCAGCCAGGACAGGATCTCTGCTGCTCAACTTTTACAGCATGGCCAAAAATTAAAAATAAAAACATCAATAACACAGGGTAAAATGACTTAAAACCTTAAACTTAAAAACTGGGGTTTATCTATACGTGTCATAAGGTTAAGTCAGAAAACTTACAAACACTAAGAGAGTGATCTGGGTGTCAGACAGAAAAAAATGTAAGGATAAAAAATAAGAATAAGAATTATTGACTTATTCCAAACTGGAATGACAGTGAATATCATATGGAATATCATTAAAAAAAGTGATTCTATTTATTAACAACCTAAAAATATATTTAATATTTGAACTGTGTCCTGTCTAATGTATTTTTTCCTGATATGATAACAACATGTATCTATAACCAAAAAAATAAAATAAATCCATCAATACCAACAATATAAGAAGTTACTGTGTGTGAAGCTGTTCCTTTACTGATGAAGTGGTTAAAGAAATCCATATCTGTGTGATAACGTCTGTCGATGATACAGTGCCTTTATGGTCATTGTGTCCATGTACAATAAAAATAAATTTTTACACAGCTTTTTGTTTACATTAACAACCACACTAACATTTGCTCAGAGTGGTGTCTGTAACTCCACCTTGGTCAACAGCTGAAGAGAAAAACAAATGTTACAGAACAGGTAGGTAGACACACCCTCGCCTCTTATAGTCCAAGTTTGACGCCACTTCCCTCGTTCAACAAACAAGATTTATGAAGAAGACAAATCCAGCTTTGACAAAAGAAGACTCAGGCAAAGAGTCACTGAACTAACGCTCAGCAGAAGGCTCAGGATTCTAGGATAACCAGTTTGTCGTTTCTGTAAAACTACACCAGAACTGCTGAGCAACAGGAACAAAAATCTTTTTCATTTCATCTCACTCCACTCTGTGAAAGGCATCTTCACATATGAGGGGGAGGCAGTGGTCTTTGAACGTGGTCCTATCAGGGTTCACTCTTCGGTGCAGCTGGACAGTTTGTATGGAGAGGTTGGCTGGTGAATGAAGGTCGAGAAGAATTCTCTGATAAAAGCGGCGGGGAGTGTCAGAGCAGTCCCTCTGTTTGAAGGTGTGTTCACATGCGTCAGGTTTGGGTCTATAAATACTGACCCTGTGTAGACCACGCAGCACGCAAAAAAATGGTTTAAAAAAACCCAACAGTCTGACTGTTTGTAATGTGACACAACAAAAACAAACTCAACAAAAAGCATCGCAGCCTGTATACGTCAGATGTACTGAAGATTTAACTTTATCTTTAAGATTTAACACGCAGCACGCGAAATTTGGTTTAAAAAACCCAACAGTCTGACTGTTTGTAATGTGACAGAACAACAACTCAAATTCAACAAAAAGCATCGTAGCCTGTACCTAAAACAAAATGATTTGAAAAGTTCACTCTACATTTAAGGCAGGGTCTCAAACTGTATTTGTCAGAGGGACAGAATAATTCTGTACAGACACTTTGGCTCAAATAAAATGAAAAATAAAATAAAGCCTCTGGGTCACTGGTTGATGATCACTTAAGGTTTTATATGTCAACAAAATAAAAGAACGAATGGCAAAGATGAATCGCTAAAAAAAGGGTTGAAAAGTGCATTTCACTCGGGATCCAGTAATTTGGAGAGTGAAGAAACTACTAACTTTTTTTGTTATTAAAATCAACAATGAGGCCCAGAGACAAGCTGGGACTTTGAAACAGTACAAATGATTAGAAAGAATTGTTTTTGTGGGCGGCCTGACTGTATCAAGGTGGCTGTGATTCACACTACAACATTCTTCAGCCGAGCGTCACTCCCTGACTCTCTCACTCCCTGACTCTCTCACTCCTTCTTTGTTGTCATTCTCCATTGTGTCGTTCTAATTAAAGACCGTTCAGAATTAAACGTTACAGAAGAACACATTATCAAAACTTAAAGAAACTTTAGAATATTAATTATAGATGTAAATATTAAACCTTGAAATGGTAGTTACAAAAGCCTCAATCCCAAAAACAAACAAACAAAAACAAACTAGACAATGTGACAGGTTGTGTTGTGGTTGAGCAGTCACTTGTAATTGTAGACGTCACGTTGTGACAAAAACAACATGGAGTCACAATGACTTCAGGAGTTACCTCTTAATAGTTAGAGAATCTCAATAACGACATGGAAACTCGCTGGTTCTCTACAGATTTTTTTCATTTCCGTAAAAATATTATTTCCTTCAAAACTAATTAGTTATTGGTGTAAAATTCACCCCCAGTGAACTGTTTTACCAACACGACTTATCAGTGTGTGTCATCGTTCTGAAATACTTCTTAGATCTAGCATTGAAATCACA